TAAATAAATAAAAGCAAACTGAGGGGTGCCTGGGTGGCTCAATCAGTTAAGCATCTGCCTTCGGCTCAGGTCATGATCCCAGGGTCCTGGGATCAAGCCCTGCATTGGGCTCCCTGCTCAGTGGGGAGCCTGCTTCTCCCTCTCCCTCTGCCTGCCGCTCTGCCTATCTGTGCTCTCTCTCTCTGTCTGTCAAATAAATAAATAAATAAAATCTTTAAAAAAAAAAAAAAGCAAACTGAACTCCACACCAAATTTGTCTGGCAACTGTTGGAACTGTTAATGCACTCAGGCCATGCAACTAGACGTCTAGCGTCCAGAGCACAGAGGTGACCGTCCTGCTGTATGTACCACATCCAGCATGTCACGTTCAAGTCAGGGCACCACACATTAAAAGACACCCCGACAAACAAGTGCGTCCAAAGGGGATAATAAATTGCAACGTGAGGAGCCGCACGGGGAACAGATGCAGGTACCATGGGCATCTAGCTTACCAAACAGAAAATGCAGAGAAGACACCACTGGGGACTTCGAGTATCTAAAGAGCTGCCATGTGCAAGGGGTCTGAGGCTTCTCTGGGCAGCCCTTGTGAGGATGACCAGGGCAAGTGGAGAGGAGTCAGAAAGGATCAGATCTTGCTCTTAGGCTAGAGTGAGGTGGCCTTGGAAACTCGGGCTGGACTGGCTCCCTTCTGAAGGGCACTGTACTGTGCACAACACTACTGAGGGATCAGTCTGGTGCACACAGTGGTAGCCGCCTCCATTCTGGCTGGTTCAGAAAGGGACATCTGGTCAGGATAGCTCCGAGCCTGGGTGGGGCAGTGGCCTACAATGTGCTGCTAAGAAAAGATGAGCTGGGAGAATCAAGTTGTCTCTCTCGAATCTGATCGAAGAAATCCAAGAAAATATGGCAGTGAGCACTGGGAGCCACAGAGGAAAGGATGCCACAAGGCAGGGAGACCAAGCCATGAGTGGTTCGAGCCAACCGAAGCTATGAGGAACCAGTAACTATGAACAAGTAGATGCTATCAGCAAGAGAAAAACTAGAGTAGAAAGGGAGAAAAATACAGACCAGAGGCAACAGAAACAGCTGTCATGAGAGGAAGAGACAGAGAGACTGAGCCCATGAGAGAGACCAGTCTGTAAGTTACCTTGGTTCCCGTAACTTTTCACTTCCCACGTGGCTGGGTGCACTTTCATAAACAAACTCTCCTTTTTTTCTCAAGGTAGATGATGGCATCTCTAGTCCTTGTAACCAAAATGAGCCTAACTAGAATATCCGTCATAAAACGGAGAGGCGGAGAGGGCTGACCCTCGTAGCTGCGCACTCTCCGTGCTGCTTGACCGTGTGGTGGGAAGAAGGAAGAGAAGATCTCCTCTGGGTGGGAGGCTGGGCCAAAGACCTCTACAGGTCTTGCCATTTAGCTGGTCTGTGATGTAGGACACTGGTCATAAGCCTTCCATGCTTTGTTTTGTTTAAAGCACTTCTACAAACTTAGCCCATTTATCATCATAACCTCCTCTGCAGTACAGATGAGGTGAGTGAGAATGAGTTAGGACACAGGTCACGGAGGAAAGAGAGAGGTGAAAGTGCCATTTACAGTGAGGAAACCAAGGCTCAGAAGTTAAATGACTAGGCCAAGGTCATCTGGGTAGTAAGAAACAGAGTCAGGGTCTCCAAACTTAACAGCTAAGTGTTCTTTCTATAACTCTGTGCAACTCTCTCCTTCACTCAGGTTTTCCTTTTGCCATAAATATTCCTGACCTGGGACATGTTAGGATAGGCCACTGGGTAGGGAAATCTAAGAGACCCCCACGGCTGCCCACAAAGCCCAGTTCTCTCCTTACCTAGGTGCTTCTGCAGGAAGGCCAACATGGCCCTCACCATAATCTCCTGACCTTCATACGGGTCCAAGCTCCCACGGGTTTGAGTGGAGAAGATTTTACCAATCCAGTTACCAGCCACAAAAGCAAAGTCAGTTTGACTCCGATGAACAGAACCACTAGAGGAAAAGAGAAACAAGTAACTGGTACGGGTCTGGAGGCGAGGGCACACAAATATTTGCTAAGCACCTACCATGTGCAAGGGGCTTTACGTGCATTATCTCTGAGTTTTCATCACAATCTCGGAAGGGAAGCATTTTCCTTTCGACGGAATCAGAGGAAATGATCTGCCCAAGGTCACACAACCAGGAAGGGACAGAGTTAGGACTTGAACACAGGTGTGCCTGGCTTCAAAGCTGCCCTAACCCCGAGGCCACAACGTCTGACAGTGCCGAGGAAGGGTGAGTTAGGTGGAGTGGGCGGGCGCAGGGCAAGGAGGCGAGGCCTGCCATCCCTGCCATTCTGCTGTGATTATAAACTATTGCACCGTGGCTTTTCCCTGGTGACTTCTGAACAGTCACAAAACATATTAGCTCCTTCTTCATCAGAACCATGCCACAAAGTGAACAGGAAAAGGAATCACCTGCCTTTATTGAAGTAATCAGAAAAGTAAGGGCAAACGCCTATAAAAGAGGGTTTCCGGATTAGAATTTAAGTTCCTAGCTATCAAATACATTTAATTCAAAAGTGAAATTCTCACTAGGTTCATTTTGGGCTATGACTCACAGCTAAATATTTACTAGTCAATTCAATGAGGGAAGGAAATCGAAACGCTCAACTTTGGTTGACATCATGCGGAATACCTGACTTTTAAAAAAAATGTGTTGTTTAAGGCACATGAAAAAGTGTAAAGAATAATATAATGGATACGTGAGTATCCAGCAGTCGGTTTAAGAAATAATACACTGCCGGTAGTTAAATTGCCTTTGGGTTCCCCTTCCCAACTGCTCTCACCTCCCTTCCCTCCATAGGTCACCATTATCCTCAAACTGACTGGCGTGGGGAAACTGTCAAGCAGTCCCCTGCTGCCATAAGACCAAAAGGAAAGGGGAGGGCTGGCCCTAAGGAAGATAGCCTACTCAAGAGGAGCAAGGGAAGAAGTACTGTTTACCAAGGGGACTCGTAGCATTCCGGCGCTTTGGATTCAGCATTTCAACTACCTGAGTGATTCCAGAAGCCTGTGACATGTAGTTACTTGTTTTGCGGAAATACGACCTGGGATCCTCAAGGCATGTGCAGTCAGGCTCTGCTAGGCTCCGAGGGCAGGGCAGAAGCAAGTCGAAGATGTGTCAGTGGGCCCTCAGCCCTGCACCTGAACTCTGTGCCACTTTCGATCTACGGTACGGATCTGAAGGTCACTCAAAATTTTCTTTCTGTGATAAGTGGTTCCTGAGAGAAAACCGTCTGATAGTGCTAGCAACTGAAGTGAAGAGAATATGGTTTCTCTTGGGCCGAATATATATGGTTTATGGAAGATATATGAACTGAGGTATTCAAGGTCTCCAAAAGTCTATCTTGTGAATGTCAAGGATCTATTGTATTTACACTCTTCAAAAGACTCACTAAGATTCCCAAATGAGGCTAGACATCTCTGGAGTCCATCCAGACCCATACTCTCCCTCTCCAACTCACAATCCTGCAATACCTTTTTTCCAGAAAGCAACAGGCAAATCCTGTCAGCAAGTCATATAAACTAGTAAAGGAATTGCTGTAAGTGGAACTAAGTGGAGGAGGACAGATAGGAAATCCTAAAGGAATTAAGACTTTGCACTTCAGGAAGTATTTAAGTATTGTATTAATGGGTAGAACTTACGGATAATTTAGAAGAAATTAAGAGAGCCACAACTAAGTAGCAAATGGAGAGGACACTGGGGATCATGATCATGACCCTGGGGCTTACTCACAGGACAGTTATGATCCTGGACTGTTCGTGCTGAGCACATATCTTCTTCATCAAGTTGACACTCTCCATTGTCTGGAATTTCTCAGCATTGATAAAGAACACAGGGCCTCGGGCTTTGGGGTAAAAGTCATGTTCCAGAGGAAACATCCAAGCATCCAGAGCCACAGCACACCTGTGACAGGACCAGACATTTGGAACTGCTATGTGGAAACCCAGGCAAGAATAGTTAGGCTGGTGGGGGAGGGGCAGGGTTCTTCCCTTCAGTGGGACAAAAGCTCAGAAAGCCAGGAAGGGGATACCAGGGCCCAGACCCTTCAGTTAGGATCTTGGATAGAGATCACCTTCACCTGTCACCAAAGATCCTTCTAGATTTTATTTATTTGTTTGTTTGTTTATATTTATTTATTTTAAAGTAGGCTCCATGCCCAACGTGGGGCTAGAATTCATGACCCTGAGATCAAGAGGTGGATGCTCTACTGAATGAGCCAGCCAGGCACCTCAGATCCTTCTAGATTTTAAACTCTCTGGCAGCAAGGATCAGACCTTTTCCTGGGTCTACCCTCAGGCAGCTGACCTGGGTTACTCAGAAGGCACTTCATTCATTCAACATTCATTGAGTACCTACTATGTGCTTAGCCCTGTGCTGTGGATACAGAGGTAAATGACATAGTTTTTGCTCTTAAGGGGCTCCCAGTCTAGAAGGGGAGACAGAACAGACAAAGTAACAAAATGGAGCTTAGTGCCCTGACTGCACAAGGAGCTATGTGAGCCCACAGTGTGCATGGCATAGGGGTCAGGAAAAGCCTCCTTGGTGGCGTAGCTCAAAGACATGGCCAGAGTGTCGAGGAGTAATCTGTCACCTGGGGCAAAATGAAGGCCCCAAGATTGGCTCCTCTCCCCTACTCAGAGTTTCTCGAGTCTTCTCCATCTCAATAAAGGACAATCATCTCCCACTCAAATTCTAAAACATATCCTGACTCAAATTCGTTTCTCTCCATCCTGCCACCTCCATCCTAATGCCAATCCCTCAGCTCTGACCTTGACTCTGAAACAGCCTTCCTCTAACCAGCCTCCTGGTTTTCAGTCTTGTCCTGCTACGATCCACTCTTCATACAGTAGCCAGAGGGCTCTTTTATTTTTTTATTTTTAATTTGTTTTTTTAAGTAGGCTCCATGCCTAGCATGGAGCCCAACACAGGGCTTGAACTCACGACCCTGAGATCAAGACTTGCGCTGAGATCAAGTCGGACACTTAATCCACTGAGTCACCCAA